GTTTAACTGATCCAACAGTAAAAACAGTAATATTAGGAAATGTTATTACAATTAATAAAACCCTTTTTGTATTTGAATATATTTTAAAATGTAATTTATTTCTGTAGTGGCAAGGTTGTATTTTCAGCATCATTACTCCAGTCTTCAGTGTCACATGATCCTTCAGAAATCATTCTAATATGATGATTTGATACTTAAGAAACGTATCTTATTATTGTCAATGTTAAAAACAGTTGTGCTGCTTAATATTTTTGTGGAATCGTGATATATTTTTTCTCTGGATTATTTGATATGAAATAGAAATCTGTACTGTCAATTTTGTTTAATTTAATGCATCCTTGCTGAATAAAAGTATTAATTAAAATAATAATAATAATAATAATTCTAACTGACCCCAAACTTTTGAATGGTAGTGTATGAGTAAATAATATAATGGCATCCACCCTGCATAGAACAATATCACTCTTCATCTTTTCACTGTTATTGTTTTTTGTCATTGTTGGTTTTCCTTTGTCTTTTTTTATTGTCTTAAAACGGTGTTCATGCAAATCACTCGGCTCACACAGATCAGTGTGTACCTGCGGTGGAAAAGTACTCGTATGAGCCCGTATAATGTGTTTGTGAGTGTCTGCACACAGACCGCCATGGTGAACGTGTTCACAGGGTAAATGTGTGTGAAGGGGCTTTTGAGAGCGGTCTGTGTGACAAGAGGGGGTCATTGGCATTGTGCCGGTCCACATTACCCCACCATTAATACTCTTAATGATCCGCAGGCTGACAGTAAGGAGATGCTGGAGAGCGCCTGGTCCGACCACTATTGTGTGAATCCTCCAAAGAATAAAAGAGCCCCTGAACCACTTTTAGCTGACGCCGTTCTCTTTAGCTGAAGTATCGCCTTCTCCGTGTCTTACTTTAGGCAAATAGTTCTTTTCCTGGTTTCCTTTTGTTTGATTTTAAAGACCTTTGGACTGGATCACAGGCAGTTTAAAGTACAAAGGCATAGCTGGGATTTCATAAGTGAGAAATTGTGTGGTAAGAAGTTCTATGAGTAAGCAAATCTCAGAAGAAACAACTTCTTGGACAATGTCCTGACCTCACGGAGCTCGGCTCAGATGTCTGGTTAAGCTTTGTTGTTCTACCGGGACATTCTGTACGGACTGCAGAGATACTGGCGATTTGACATTGAACTTTTGACATGTGACACATCAATGTCCCATACAGCCTTTATCTTAATCCAATCTCCACTTTTTAAAGGGCTGAATGTCAAGATCACCATCCAGAGCATCTCCACACGTGCCAATGGTAATGCTTCTTTTTCAAAATCTGTTTTTATTGCTGTAACATTAACATCAACCGACACCCTTGACAAAGTCATTCGAGATTCAGGTTTAGAGTTTTTAGTAACATATGGTCAAAATTATTTTCTAAAAGGTGTCTAAAAAAGGGTTTGCAAATCTTTAGTCTCTGTTGGAGTTATAATATTTATGTTGCTGACATGACGGATTCTTTGATTCCATATGTGTGACACAAGGACATATCAAGCCTGACAACCACGTCGAACTTAATAATAGCCCGAGGGCACTATATGTTGGTCTGAATTACAGCAGGAGGCTCATGGGACACCCGTCAGTAGCAGCAGGACTGACTTTGCATTAATATTCAGCTGTCTTTGTCTCGGTTTAGATTCATTAAGTAACGACTCGCACTATTGCTCAATTATATTTCAGTCTAATAATCAGTACGAAAACATTTAAACAGCAATGTCATATATTTCATTGTAAAAACAAGCAAACATTTGTGTGTAAATAACCCTGACATATGAAATAATAGTCAGTTAACTTAACCTTTAGACAAAGTATAAAAACGTATTCATACTTTTACTCTATAAAAATCAGTAAAGATTTCACAGTAAAAAGACGTGTACCATGACTTAAAGTTTATACTATAAGGCCTTTTATTTGATAAAAGTAAGTATAAACCATAATTATAGAGACCTTAGAAATGTGTGTATCAGATGTGATAGAGTAGGGTTTATATACTTTAAAAAATGCTGGGCTGTTGATGGTTGGGTCAAAAACTGTTGGTTTAAATTTCTTTATTCAATTTTTGTCTCCCGACGGTTGGATTTGTCCATATATTTAGGGTTAAAACAATGGAAGTATGAGGCAAGACACTGCACTGACATGAAACTAGTGTGATGAAATTGTACAAACTAAAATATTGTGGTGTTCCACAGCATCTTTGGCATGCTGCCGATGACCACAGACAATCATTTTGGCTTTGTCCCTCAGTATAGAAACAAAAATCACTTATGAACCCAGAATATTCTTTTCAGCCTTTTTTTTCTTGACAAAGAGATATGGAATTAATTTAGGCCTATTTAATTTTTTTCTTAACCTCAAATTCTTATACGGCCTTTTTATCCTTGTAGCATCAGGAAAGTTAATGGATTTGGTGATCAAAGATCTGGCCTTGAATGTTATCCAGCATCCCTCGACGGTATTGATGAGTGCGTGTGGTTTCTCACAGTGTGTGGTGTATAGACAAGCTCTACCTTTCGAATCCCAATCACAAAGCTTTCACAAAGACACTCAGTGTTGACACCTGCGTCCAGCGTCCATTCAACGCCAGGTTTAGTGGCCGGTCTCTTGATGGAATATTTTCCAAGTCTTTTGTTTCCACTACTCCAGGAATACTAAAACAAACACCTCCGACGAGTTATTTTTGGCTCATTGCCACAGTCTTTGGGTGTGCATTTAAAGTAACAACATGGGCGATATGACTGATGTGTTGTATAAAAGCGCTCTGTGTCCAGCATGACATAAGATATAGGTGAGGGGTGACGGTTGGTATCATGCTTATAAACCCTCACGCCGCATTTGCTCGATTTGTCGCCACGGCTCGGCATCTGTGGGCTTTGATGTATTTAGATGTATTAATTTATTCCCCATGTTCCTGCCAGTCCTACATAATGGGGTCCTGTTCTCGTTTAATGGGCCTTACAAAATTCATAAGGTAATTACTGTGAGTGATTGGATTAGGTTAAAGCACAAATGTGACTTTGTACTAGTCTAAGGGGAAAGTGTCTGGCTTTTTTGGGTCAAATTATATGGGAAATGATTTACATAAAATAATCAAGCGTCGACTGTTAAAACAGTTCAATTTATTCTAATAGAGACACTTCTCTTTTGTGTTCTGTTTGAAACAGTGAGCTTTTTTGGGGGAAATCTGGCACTGAAAGGAAGGATTTATCCTGTTTGTCTGAAAGATTTGATTCTGGTGGTACAAAGACTGCAGCCTTTGATCCAATTACAACGTATGTATATCCCGGGTCACTTCCTGTCCCACAGTCGTAGCCTGAGGAGTGGGGCCGCAATCACGACTCTGTCCAATTATTGAGTTGGTGCCCTAAAGCCACTCTTTCTCTCCGCATCCGTGACCGTGTGTGTATATCTGTGTGCTTGTGTAACCGTTCGGCCTGGGCTAATGTTTCAGAGCTGTTTGAGAAGGGTCACCAGCTGTGTTTCAAACATCTGTTCCTCATAGAAGCAGCCATGGATCCCATTTCCTCGATCCCTGTCATGTTTAGAGAGAGAGATTAAGCTTTGTGCCGTCTACTGAGGGTCTCCTCCTCTCTTTGACTCATCTTCACCGCCTGCTTAGCTGCAAATCAAACGAAACTGTCTGAGCCATTGGTTGACGTTGATGGACAGGGGTTTGAGAGGTGCAGTGTTTTTCATTAGACACGCTTTTGCGGAAACGGGGGTTTGCGTCAGAGCTGTAAGCGCAACCCATTTATTCCGATGAACATAAACAGTGTCTGCTCCCTTTTAATTGGAATTTAATTGGAATTCCCTTTTAATGAAAATTGTTTTTTTTTTTATTGGAAAAAGCCTCAATTTAAATTTAAAACCTGTTAAAAAACTATACACATCTTTGGATCCAAAATATCAATTAGCTTAAAACCTCCCAGAACAATCGCATTCCCGATATGGAAATTCTTGATCCTTTTCACAGATGCATTTTCAAACAAATCGGATGTCTGTTTTGAGTTCTCCACGCGTCTGACTAATGAGCTAGTTGAGAAATGTGACTTCAGCCTCTTATAGAAGCAGCTGTGGAGTCTATTACCAGAAATAATGTTTAAACACATGTTTCAGAAAAACCTGTAGATCATTCTTTGTTTGATTCAATGTATATTTTCCCACATCTTAGTGAAATGTCAGTCTTTTTATTTCCTATTAGATTACACGCGTCTAGAAAATTTTAATAGGGTAATTTGTGCATTTGTAAAAATAAATTAGAAATATATTTTTTTATAGCAATAGTCAATCAAGTGCATTTGAAAGTAAATAATGTTTTTGTTTGAACAACAGAGGGCAGTCACTCCACCTGAGTGCCTTTAAATCAGACGCGCCTTTCAGAGATCTTAATTATAAAATTAAATATCTGAAATGCATGTCATTAAGGGTAATGCAATTTATATTGCCTCGTGCATTTTGTCTTTGAATGGCCACTGGTATTTTCCTGTTCTTTTAGAAATGATACCAAAGTAATAACATTTATTAGACATTATGCCATGGTATCCTTTAGTGTACCGTGTTCATGTAAATATCATGTGTATAAGAATATGGCAGTCTTACAGCACCACACTGTACCACCATAGTACTTTTTAATAAACTGATATATGAAATGTATAGGATATGAAATAGATTTTAAGACAAAAATTAAAGTGCTTATAAATCTCATCATATTTTGTTGGCTTGGGTGTGTTTACGTGTATTTATTTCTCATGTAGGCTATAGCAACCGGCTAGTGCTACAAAATGTGGTTCTGTTTTTGTTGAATATGATAATTAAGAGATGGGATAGTTAATACTTTCTTTGATTTTGCATGTAATCTGAATAGTATAAACCATCTAATGCGAATCTTGATCCTGTTTAAAGATCATGCATGAAAGGACACCTCCATAAATCAGAGGAGGAGGAGGGAGTGGAGTGAACAGAACGGGGCGGGCATTGGGACCCCGTGGCCTCCTCAGCAGCGAGGTTTCCTCCGTGTGCGCGAGTGTGATTGAGCTCTTCCCTGCTGGACACATTCAGATCCCAGTATCAGCCGGACGGGACACATCAACGCCCTCTCTATCCCTCTGTCTGTGGATTTGGACTTTTTATACTGAGCTTCAACAGGGACAACAAACTTTTCAAATTTATATTACAAACAGTCCTGTTCATTTTTTTCTCTGATTTTTTTGGATTCTTTTTTTTGTTTTGATGATCACTTTTAATACATGGAGATTATCTGACCATGTCGTAAGTGTTTCTCAGATGCACTTAGTTCATAAGAAGAATCTCCATCAGATTATTGTCGGTGGATATATAAATGAATGAGCTGTCAGAGATGCTGGTGTCCAGGGATTATTGCGCGCTCATAATGCGGGATCGGAAGGAATGCGACGCGCGCTCTGGTGAAGTGGAGCGGGTTCGAACCCGAGAGCGTGTGGACGCGACTGTTGCGGGTCTGACCGAGCTGGAGTATCTGAGGCAGAGACAGGAGCTGCTGGTCAGGGGTGTGTTGAACTGGCAGGAGGACAAACCCTGCCTTACAGTGGAGGACAGCTATCTGAACACTGAAGAGAAACTTCTGGAGGAGAATATTTTATTACTCAGAAAACAATTGGTGAGTAATATAAACTGTTTTATTATTATCGTTGTTGTTGAAGTAGTCTATATGTAGTCCTAGCGCAACATCTTTTTTCCCCACCTGTATTTCAGATTTTTTTTTGTTTTTGTATTTTGGCATTGACATTTTTAGATTACCTCATTTGAACTTTTATTTTAATAGAATAACCCTTACAAGAGACCACAGTGATAGTATCTGATAAGTACTAATAGTACTGAGTTCTGTACTTTTCTTTGTACCATGGTAGCCTACTTCCAAAAATACCATGGTACTACCAGGGTACATGGTTAATGCATTGAGCATTTTCATATTTTTAAATTATTATTAAAAAAGACTTTAGAATATTTTTAATTGTCATAATTAAACATTTAGTTGGATTGAGATCCATTAAAATAATTACAAGTATATTAAAAATGTTTTTGTCTATTAAATTTTGGTTTTGATTTGTCTTGTAGAAAACAAATGTAGAAAAAGTATTTGGAAGATGAATACTGGTATAGAAAAAATAGTGTCTTTTTTTTGGCATTTAGTCATGTGACACCAGAAACGCAAGCGCTAATCATTAGAATGACATTAAAACAAAAAGAGAACCATTTAAATCAAACTTCCTGGAGGTAGTAGAACATCCCTGAGTTTCTAATGCAAGTCTAGGAGGGGGTCTGACAGGCCTGAATAAGATTAGTTGATGGGCTTCAATGGAAAGGAACTTTTTACAAGCCCAGCTCAAGCCCCCTGCTGTCTTTAGAGGATGACCAAGATTAAATTTAACAGTTGGGCCAAAGACACCTGGTTCCACTTGAGGTATTTGCAAACATTTCCATTATTGTAACCCTACGGGGTTCATGCATTGTGGTTAACGTATTGTATACAGAAAAGAATAACAAGGTTTGGATTTATTTCCTGGCTTTGCTAAAGCCTCAGACATGTACACAAGTGGCTTGAGTCTTCCCCGCTGTAGTTTGGCATAATTCCACTTGCTTATCTTGAGGTCAGTTTGTTTGCAGGGCTCACACCCAGAACTACATTAAAGTTAATGGCAATGTGTGGATCATATAATGCCTGATGTCCTTATGATTTCCCAAAAACAAACAACCAATCATATGTGGTCTTTGACTGAGCTGAGCTTGTGCAATGAATTGAGTATAAACCAGAAATGTAGACACCATCGTCCAAAACCCAAGCCCAGGCCATCAAGAGTGGTCTGGGGTTAATTTGATGCCGTTTCAAAATAACCGTCGGTGTGCTCTGCAAATGGCATTTTGTGTAAAAATGGTCTGCACAGCCCAGCATGCTGAGAGCTCAGGGCCCATAAATCACTTGTAGCCCGCCTGTCAGGACCAGGCTTTTTTACAGCCTCGGTCTGCAGCGGAGGAAACGCCATTCCACTTCTCCATATAGCCTGGAATCTGCACTGCATTACCTCCCCTGTCAGCAAACAGCAGTTAAATTTTGCAGCAGATAACATGCCTCTGATTATAGGTCATTTGAAGTAATGTCCTTCTGCTTTGAAGGGGCCACATTTTCCTCAGTCTGCCGTTTCACCATGCTTAATTTGGAATGCAGCACATGATACGGGTGTTGTCAGATGCATCCAATTGCTCGCAAGCTGTGTGTCGAAGTTGGATGGTTATTCCCATGCGAGGTGTGACTCTAATTTAGTTCATTACATCTGTCTGATCAGTGCCATGAGGCCACCGGCATTGAGACGTAAATTGTGAAATGCAACTGTTTGCAGATTCTTGTTTGGGCTGCAGGGCAAAACCTTCTAAATTAAATACCAAACAATTTTACCATTTATGAAGCTCCTAAACATACACAAAATCTTTTGTTAACATCTTTTCAATATGTATTGTTTCTTTATAGAACTGCCTTAGGAGACGAGATGCAGGTTTGATCAACCAGCTCCAGGAATTAGACCGACAGATCAGTGACCTGCGTTTGGACACAGAGACTTCGCATGAACACGTGGAAACGGACAGCCGGCCAAGCTCAGGTTAGTATCTTTTGTGGAGCCATGGCTCTTTAAAAGGGGCTTGAATTCTGTGCACTGCATGTTTTATCGAATTATCATTAAGGGTTGGCAAAATTGATTGCCTGCAGAATCGTCTGCATAAAACCAATCTAAGCAATTGGCGTTGGCAGAAAGGATTTCCAATAAAATTGATTCACGAGCACAGGAAAGCATTTCTAATGATTGTTAATCTTCTACAATCACCCGAGGGTGGTAATCAGACGTCCTGTTCGAATTATATCACTTTGCGAAAGACTACTTTGTGCTTTGGGCCTGTAGTAGCATGTGTACCTGTGATTCCTAATGTCTGTTGGAAACTGTTTAGCTGTTTTGCTTAAGCACTAATTTGGTAATGTGAACAATCTGCACCCTGTACCAGAGGCCTGCTACAGTTGCATTAGTTTACATTCCAAAAACGAGAGGTAATTTTAGTGCTGGAACTGACTGCACTTTTGTTGGAGGAAGGTTATATAAAGTGGAGATTGATTACATGTGTGTATGCTCCTCTCTGAAAGTCTTAATTGTTAAAATGGCCTTATACTGTAACTGCTTCTAACATGATTGAATATAGAGTTATTCAACCTTTAGCTATTTTGGGTGCTGTTTGTACTATTTGTTATGGTTTTATTCTTCTCCATTTTAATGCTAATATCAATTGTGATGTATGGAGCTCTGGTTCCTATCTCTATTTCCTCTGGCAAATGTATACCTTCCTAAACGCTATGTTATTCAAATTGAAAGTAGGTTCCAAAAGAGAGCTCAGTTAAGAGTGAAAGAGCACATCACCTCATTCCTGAAGATGTCAAATTAATGTGTTAATTTCTCACCCTCTCTCTCCCAGGCTTTTACGACCTAAGTGACGGTGCTTCTGGATCCCTCTCCAATTCCTCCAACTCCGTCTTCAGCGAGTGTTTGTCCAGTTGTCGTTCCACCACCTGCCTGTGCACCCCCCTCGACACCTCGCTCTGTGCCTCTGAGGGAAGGCTTAAGCCTGCAGGTGAGAGTCTCCTTGTGACGATTTGAGGTTTCTGGGTCATTCAGACTGGTCTTACCCATCAGCACTGTTCCATGCATTCTTGAAACACTGTTCCCTTCTCTTGCTTTGTTATGCAGAACTATTTACTTAATGGTGATTTCTTCCTCCAGGCTTAGGAGCTGGTATCACAAAGAAGAGACGCTCTGTTCGTTTGTTTCTAGTTGCTTCAAATGACATCTGTTTTTGTGTTGCATTACCGTTAGCAGAGAGCATTCTATAATCACTTAAGCTCAACTGTGCAAATAGAGGTGAAACAAGAGAAGTTTTTGGTCCCAGACAGAGATAGAAACAGTTTCACAGCCCTGCTGATGGCTCTCCCAGCCACACCTATAAGCTAGCAACAAAAGGCTCATTAGCACATCAAAACTAATCAACCACCCACCCAGCTGAGCACTAGAACTCTATGAATCAGATATACTCTCCTCTCACATGCCATAGCACAATGAAATTAGCGGTTTTAGTAATCTGACATTACATTTTCTTGTAGTATTAACTGTTGTGTCCTCTGGGATTTGCAGATGAGCTGGGCATTTGTGCAGAGTGTGATTGCCAATGCGAAGACTCAAGTTCTGGAACAGTCCGCAGGTCTCTTTCTGCATCTTACTCCCCTTCCCCGGATGGCTCCTGCGATGGCCTTTCCAAATTCCACTCTGATCTCATTGCCAAAAATGGTAATGATGTTTACCGGTACCCCAGCCCTCTCCATGCGGTGGCTGTCCAGAGTCCCATCTACTTCCAGTCCACGACTAGTCACCTAAAGGACGATTGTAGCTTCTCCAAGCTTGGTGAAGCATCGAGTGATGAACAGAAACCTGAGCAGGTCATGGGCACCCAGAATTCATCTTGGCATGCCTCTCAGATGCTCCCAAACAAAAAACTGGATAGTTATATCTTTGGGCTACTTCAGAGGAGGGCACAACCGTTGAGGACCAGCAAACCCAGAACAAGCATCAACACTGACCCCTCCAAGAGCATTTTGAGGCAGGCTAGTCTTTGCTCACGGGCCCCTGCTTCTGCCCAGGCCCAGCATAGGACCTCTGACCTCAAGCCTAACTGGCAGACATGTTTACAAGATGCATCAGCAACTAGCACTGAGCCAAGCACAGCTTCGCCCCAAAGACAGTGGTCTTCTGAGTCTCCAAGTCAGCCACAGAACAGTTACTCAATCACCAATGATAATAACACTAGTTGCCTCTTGAAGAAAAACGTTTTTGGAGCCAGTAAAGGCCAGCCTTTAAGTGTTGCATCGAAGGACTGCCAGGATTTAGGCAGCCCTAATGCAGTTTCCTCTCCCAAACTCAACAAGCATTCTTATTACACTGTGGAGGACAATAAATCAGGACAAGCAATGAAAGCAAGTCCTCTTAAGAGGAGTCCTAAAGCTCAGGCTCCAGGAAGTTGTGGTGAAGACGCCGAGCAGCTGGCTCCAGAGCTGCTCAGTCTCGGTTCTTCTTCGCAGAGCCAAGACGAGGGAGGTCAAATGGTCAGTGCCCAGTACATCGCTGCTCAGAAACAGAATGTAAATCTCTGTAAGGGTGGCACCAAGAACATCAAGATTGTCAAAGTGAAAAATCCCACCAGTGCAAAAAGTAGACCTCATGTGTCCAAGCATGTTTCCGAGATTGGTCGTGACAAGCATCGGACAGGATCTAGGAGGTCTCGACAAGTGGACGACGTCCACCACTTGCATAAATCCTACAAGAAGTCCTCCTCAAAAGCCAAGAGAATCCCTGCCCCCATCCCTGAAGAACGCATCCTGGAGAAGCACACCAGTTCCACAGGGGGTCGATCTTCTTCCCAGAGACACCATGGACATCACCGACATCATGAGGCAGTGTTGGCCAAACCCAAGTACAAGCGCAACGACTACCATCGGCGACCCAGGGGTCTCCATGAGATCCCATACGAGGAGGCTTACAGGAGGGCTCACTGCAGGCAGAAACGAGAAATGCTGGGCCACATGTCAGCCATGCACCTGCCGTCTAACGCACACTACACCAGCCCCTACGCTTACGTTGGCAGTGACTCTGAATATTCAGCGGAGTGCGCCTCTCTCTTCCATTCCACCATTCTGGACACAAGTGAGGATGAGCGCAGTAACTATACCACCAACTGTTTTGGGGACAGCGAGTCGAGCGCTAGCGAGGCGGACTATGTAGCTGAGAGCAGCACTAGCAGTGACTCTGAGGGCAGTGCAGGGGTCAATTGGCCCCAGTTCAACCAGGCGGGTGCAGGATCCCACGGAATGACGTCGGCACAGGCTAAGGCATTTGTCAAAATCAAGGCTTCCCACAATTTGAAGAAGAAGATCTTACGTTTCCGATCAGGCTCTTTAAAACTCATGACCACAGTGTGAGAGACTTGAAGGACACAGAGATCAGTTAGGATGCAGCCAATAAAATTGGCTTCACTCCCTTATCAAACAATCAAGTGCCTAGACAGAAATCAGCTGCACGGCCTAAAACTGCCTGTCTGTCAGCTGGGAACTCAACTTCTGTCCAGCACAACGCCTTCCCCTGCACTTTTCGCCCCTTTGATGTCATTGTCTGTAGCCTTTTTGTTTTGTATTTATTATAAGTTCAGCTTTTGCTGTGATGCATCTACATATCAAGTACTATGTAAATGCACTGTTCATACATGGTTTACTTTACTAAAGATATTTATAACTTAATATATTTGGTTAGCCATACATGGAAAAGAACAGGAAGTATGACTGAACTGAAGCAGTGTATTACAGACAGTCTGTCTGAGAAATGTTCACCAAGCCTAGTTCACCTGCTGATCATTAAGGGCTTTTGTTAAATGCACATTAAATATGCATGAGCAACAGCTTTACCATTTTCCTTATTAGCTGTAAATTACCCTTTTGTAAAATAAATGTTAATGTATGTCGATTTCTCGTGTCTTTTCTTGTGTCTTTCTTTATTAAATCCCATTGTTAAAATCGCTCAGTGGTGTCCTTGTTTATTTGATGTAATGGCTGTGTTTCTCTGTACTTTTTAATCCAAGAAACCATGTAAAAAGTATCATGTACTGAACAATCGTAAAATTGCACCCCTGTTTATTTGTATAGTCTGAAATTTGAATTTTCCAATGTCAAGGCCATGTTAAACCAAACTAAACCCTCTGCTAGAGGAGGCAGTAGTTAAATGTGGCATCTACTTTAAATGTGGCATCTACTTATAGTCTTTGCAAGTGTTTAGTAAACAAACACTTAACGTTCTTCCTCCATGCCATTTGAGGAGCATCGTTCAGGGACAGCAAACTCACAGACATCGGCATCAGCAGTGCATTCTGTCTCCTTCAGCACTGAAGAACATAATGAAGACATGAAGATCCGATGTTGAAATTATTCTTGATTTATATCTTTGCAATAGACATTTCTACTGTTGCTAATATCGTCTAACTCTGGAGAGAAAAACAGATGAAATATAGAAAAGTCTTAAAGTTGAATATGTAGTGAAAGAGAAGAGTGCAAACAACTAAACCTGCGGCACTCAAGATACTCTGTTCTTTCATGAGTATCTGACCTTTAATTTTTTGGCTCATATCCCTCACGGTCACGTTTAAAAGATTTCTCCTTCTGTTTCCAGAATCTAGCATAGATAGCCTCCTGGAATAGGTCTGGCTTTTTAAAGCACAGTGCATCTGTTTATATTACCGCAGCTGTGAGAAAACCAGACTGTGCTCTTCTCTTTCTGGCATTTAAGAACACATGGCTTTTCCTGCCTGGTTACAAGATGTTTCTTTATCCTCACTGAGATCAGTAAATCTCATATTCAGAATCAGTTAGATGATAGTTTATTTTGCATGCATGATAACCATAGATCTTAAACAAAAGGATTTGGAGTAAAAGAATTTCAATAAGATGGTGTCAGATTTCTCTAACTTCCATATGCATCCATATTGTGGTTGCCTAATATATGTTTAATTGGTTATTGGCCTTATTGTTAATGGTTTCAATCAAACTGTGGATGATCAGCGCAAGCAAAATCAAGGAAGCATAATGTACTTGGCAGAATGTGTTCAAGTAGTTCAAAAACGTCTGACTGAGGTTTTGACTGTAACTGTTTTGCGATTGTGTTCCTGCGAAAGTACAAGCAATGAAGAGCAAGACATTTAGATCTAGTGGCTATTCTTCATAATGACAATGTACCATGTTTATAATGGACTTGTAAGGCAGTACCATTGCATTCTGTTTCTGTTAAGCTTGAATGTTTGTTGACGGCTCAGATAAGTTATTTTTTAGTCATGAGGGATTAGTGCTATCTATGAAATAATTTAACATTACAAAGAAAGCCAAAAGAAGTTTAAATTTAAGAGGTCACCTTGTTTTTTTTGTCCGGAAGGATCCATACTGACTTCATAGCTTACATTGGTTTGGAGGGCAGTTGTGGTCGCTCTGTCGCCCAAGGTCAGTCGGGCCCTGTGGAACAGGCAGGTTGGGGCCTGAGACCGTGGGCTATGAGAAGCATGCATTCAGTGTTGATTTAGCCTTGCTTCTGAGTTACTCTCCAGGGTCCAATGACTCTCTCAGGCCTGTCAGAGATCACGCACAGATCAATCTTCTTTTGAAACCAGCTCATCCAGCCAGGTCAGCGAGAGGCCAAGTTGGTAAACTTAATACATGGACAACTGGTGGAAAACCCACGCAAAACAATCTCCCCACCAGAAACCAGGGCGCTCTCTTCTCGTACTCATTGTCAGGAGAGAGTTTCTCAGAAGTATCTTGATTTCAGCTAGTGAGGTGATCAGACAGCTGAGGGGCTTTTAGCATTGTGGTACTGTACATGCGCTGCAGGCTGTCTGCTTCATGCAACCAGTAAATAGATCTTCACCTCTCTTAAGCCCCCGGCTTTACAGTTTTATTGGTTGTGTTTGATATTTATTGGAAAGAGCTTTAAAGGTTTACACCAGCATCACTGGGTTAGCAGAACCAGAGATAAACAACTGGAGGAGCTGAGAATATTTTAATATATTTTGCCCGACCGTTATTCATTACTGGTATTTTTATGTTATTCATTACTATTATATATATTTACAGTACAATATACAAAATGATTTCTAAATATGTGACACTAAAGACTGGAGTACTGATGCTGAAAATCCAGCTTTGCATCAAAGAAATAAATTATACTTTAAACTAAAGTATATTAAAATAGAAAACCATTATTTTAATAATTTGTAATAATATTTCAGAGTATTACAGTTTTTTCTGTATTTTTGATCAAATAAATGCAGACTTGATGTATAAGAGACCTCTTTTAAAAACATTAAAGCTGCAGTCCGCAGTTTTTTCTCTTTGTCGCCATCTCTGTTTAAAATCTGCAATTGCAGTCATTCGCGGAATTATCAACTTTACGTGAGTTGTACTTCGACACCCTCGACACGGCACAGCGCGGATGAACACAATGTTTGAGGAGAGTGTGCAGCTGTCAGTCACCGCGCCGGTGTGGATCCTGGCATTCAGAATCACAGATTATTCTTTTTGGAAGTATGACCAACATAAGAATTTTCACCAGAAAATGTTGTTTAATATTTAGAAATGGAAAAATGCTTTTATTCTCTTTGGATATCTTGTGTGATTACAAAAATGCATTGCCATATTTTTGGTTTATTTCCATAAAATTGTGTTTAAAACTATTAAACAAAGATATTTGTGGTTACTTGTATTAAGAGCAAAAGCCTCAGAAAAGAATGGACGCAACAGTTGCCTTAGCAAGGAGCGGTCAGTAACATTTTAAGATGGGTTTAGCAAATGATCAAATAACCTGAATTATCATAATCTAAGCTTTTTCAATGTGGCTTCACAAGCAATAATATTAAAGTGAAGACAGTTGGTTGTTCATGTCGTCAGTTTCAGATTTCCTGCGGCACATGAAAGGCATCGGTTTTCTTTCTCTTCCAAACGTTTGGCCTCATCTGAACTTCTGACTCTGGAGTTAATGAAGACAAAACAAATAGGCACTTTCTAGTCTCCATCATCACGGCGGTTCAACAGGCACTAATACCCAAACACTGTCACATTAAGCTGAATAATGCAAAGGGAACAATGCAGCGTCGTCCCTTCCCACACACTGCCCTTTCCCTTGCCCCTTCTCAAGAATACACTGAGATCCGAGACCCCGTCAGAGTCTCTATAGGCCCATAGATCAGCAATTTCAACTGCACTCAGTCAGCGTTCACATTAGACCCCATATCGGGCATCTCAAAGCTTGTTTGCTCCTTGAACTTCTTGATTTCCACCGATGGCTCTTTCTCTGTAATTACGGCTCTCTGTTTGCCCAGCATGGCTTAAGTGGTGTGTTCAGCACGCTCAACGACCCGGCTCTGAGGAGTGACACCGGCTTTGAGAACAACAAGAGATGGTGTGTATGTGAGAGAGACATAGAAAGACACTTTGTTTGTGAGACTTCTGACTTCCCTTTCCCCGCAGCAGTCTGTCCTCCTCCATTGATCTTCAAACAGTCACCAAGAGTCATAAAGTTAAATGGGAGGAAATGGATGACAGATATGGAGATATTGGATGTGTAAATCAAAAGGGACCAGACTCAGACAGACCACAGGTCAGTGTCCTAACCCCTCCGCTCTTTGTAGAATCCGATCTGGATGTGGATAAAAGACTTTAGGGTGATGCAACATGTCCCATCTGGGTTGTTAAAAGGAGATCTGGACGATGCATAAAAGCTTTAAAGGTAAACAGCGTTCCAGTCTTCACTGCCTAAAAGCCAACATGTTCAGAGTGGGTATCTGACCCAACCCGGGGTTTGTAACTATGGCCCTGTTTGCACCTGCTAGTAACGTGCATCTCAAATGTGTCTCCAGTGACCACTTGTGATCCAGGGGAGAGTCTACGATTTCATGACTACATGCATCACTTACTACTGCATATTGATAAAGCATCAAAGGTTTTCAAAGAAAATAATTCGCATTACAAAAAATGTGCTGTTTGTAGTGGAGTGTTCAGTGTTATATTTGTTGAGCATTATAACATTAACTAGATATACTGAATATATATATATAAAACTTTGTACACAAATATGTTATTCATATAATGTATTCAATGCAATAAATAAAATCTATATTTTATTATTATTTCATTCATATTTTTATATTAGTATTTTAAGTATTTTTTAGTATGTTTTAAATAACAATTTTTGTTTCTGCTTTATTTATTTACATTTCTATTTATGTCAAATTTATATTTATTGTATATATGTATGATGTTTTTAAAAGGAATATTATATAGTTTAATTACATTTATTATATTGTTGTTTTATTTCTGTATACAAAATATTTTATTTATATCATTTTACATATTTACATATGAATAACGTTATAAATAAGATAAGAACATACATTACTATATTATCTTACATACTTTTACTTTTATCATCTTAATGCCATTTAAAATGTCTTTCTATTTTCATGTCTGCTTTAATTTTTTTTACCTTATGTCTAATGTCTATTTATTATGTGACACATATGTCTATATTTTTATGCCAGTGTCAACAACAAATTCTCAATCAATGGAATCTTGAATGAATAATAAATCATATTATGTATTAAAGCTGTACGTATAGCCACCAAAGGCGAGTATAAATGGTTCGTTTTAGCATTCACACTGCAAATGTGTTTATGACTACCTCAGAATATGGTTTTAATGATCGAATCATTCAAAACTGATGTTAATACCATGTAACTGGCCCTCTGACAGCAGAAAGCAGTGACATTATTATTATCATCCTGCATCCGACGCCACACGCTCCTTTGAGATCAATAAATACCCCACGATCCCCAGCTATCTGCAATCTTGGGAACCAGTAGGAATCAGTGTTTACCAGCAGCGCCCCAGTCCGACAGGCCATAAGTCACTCGCAAACAGATAAACGCA